TCCATAGGGAAGCTGGGGTTACCCAAACTTTTTCTGGGTACTCAGAACCTGTTTTTCTGGTTTTTTGGGGTTTTTTTAATTAGTTTTGAAATCTTTGCTCAGAGGACAGTGGTGTAGAATCACAGAATGGTTTGGATTGGAAGGGATTTGACTTCAGGAATTCAATGGGAGAAGTCCTACATTTATACAAAATCATTTAAAAACTACACTTTTAAGGAAATTATAGATTATTAAATCTAATAAAAAAATAATTTCAAATCTTGTTGATGTGTTGGACAATTTTGAGACCATTCTATGGTTTCTGTAAGCACATCTGACAAATTGTTTTTCAGAGCACCAGGGTGGAAAAGCTGCTCTGTAACACCAAGGAGGGGGGAGAAGAAAAGTGATGCCCTGAAGAACAGGAAACAAATTGAAATTAATTATTTTTGGCGGAGAAATCAGCAAATCCCACAAATTCTGCGCCACACAAGTGGTGGTGATCCTGAAAGAAGAAAGGTAATAAAAAAAGAAATTAAAATCTCTGCACCACACAGAGGGACTGTACACACAGTAAATCTCACCAATATTTTCTAAAATGTTTCCCCACTGCACAGAAATTTCCTTTTCTTTAACAATGATGCTTTAAAATTTATCAGACTTCAAAGAACTAATGAGAAAATATTAAAGAAGGCAGCAAAATAAACTTAATTATTCTCATAGCAAGGTGAGAAAAGCTGATTGACATGAAACAAAGCTGGGGGAACATCCAGGGAAAAAAGTCTAAAGAAAGTGTTTAAATGGAGAGAATTACAACAAAAGGAAAAAAAACCCATAAATTATAATAATATTGGTGAAGGATTTTTAAAGATATTTAGTAACAAACTAATTTTCCAGCCAAAATACAGAGTTTTGAAGGGAATTCCCTCAGAGGAATTGTCATGAGATACTTTAAAAAAGGGCTTGGACTGACTGAAAATTGCACTGAGCTTCTCTTGCCACTCAAGAGAATTAGCAAATAAGGAAAATAATGTTATAAAATGTGTAGGGGTGACAAAAACAGTGGATAAAACAAAACAAGTGGTTTAGACTTTAAAATATTATATTTGGCAGAGAAAGAGAATAATGACTGAATATCCTGAACGAAAAGGGCTTAGGAATCAGAAAAAAAATATTAAAGAATGAAATAATTAGGTATTAATTAGGTAATTTTTCCTAGTAAAAGGTTGTTACTGTATGTTGTGAGGTTCCAAATGATGATGGGCAAGTTGATATCTTTAAAAATATGATATCTTTAAAAATATCAACTTAAAAATATCAACCACCATGGTAAAAGAAACTCTTTACAAAATAGTGACTTTTGTAGGCTTGTTTGTGAGAACTGATGGATGTGGAGAAATTGTTTGGGAATTTATATTTATTTTAATATTTTATTTATAAAATTGTCTTTATTTTTATAATTTATAATTATTTATGTATATTTTAAATAACCTAAGGCAGGACACAGATATGGAGAACAAAACCACAAATAAATACAAAATAAATGCACTTTTCAACTAAAACTTGTATATCCTGCCAGCAGCAATGAATTGAAGTAGATACAGTGTTAAAAAAAGATGCTTGTGTTTCAAATAATATTAAAATAATAATGAAAAGCTGAATGAAAAGTTAAAATTGACTGATTCTTCGAGTGCTGATAGCCCTTGAAAAACAATTTGGGGTTTATGCAGATATTGAAAACACTGACAATTATATTAAACAAAAATTGTGGTGCCCAACATTTACATGGAAGCAAAGTTTTGTAGTGACCTCAAAGGGGACTGGAATGGAAAAAGAACTTTTAAATTTTTTTTTTTTTTTTAATATTGATTTGATACCAGGAAGAAAAAAATGGTCCCAGTGAGTGATCTGCACACCCTCAGCTGTTTACATCCTCCTGTGACATAAATAGCTTTTGAAACTCCAAGTGTAAGGTTACAATTCATGGCTCAGGTTCTGCTCCTGGTTGTAAGGAGTGTGTAACTGGGTTTGCTCATGGCAGGATAATTCCACCCTCACTGCTCAGGTGGTTGGAGCTTCCTGAGGCGCTGAACACAGATTTTTTAAAGTTTTTTTCTTGTCAAATAGGAGGAAAACTGTGTAACTCAGCCCTTTAAAGAGATTTTTCCATTATAGATAGCAGACACCAAGCACAACTGTTGATTTAATGTTTTTAATGATATGTTTTCAGTATTTTAGGCTGGAGTAAAGGACAGTATGGAAATTATTTTTAACTTTCATAGAAGGCTGGGCAGGGTTTGGAGCAGCCTGGGACAGTGGGAGGTGTCCCTGCCATGGCAGGGGTGGCACTGGGTGGGCTTTGAGGTCCCATCCAACCCAAACCATTCCATGGCTCTGTGATGTCTGAGCTGAGCCTGAGGAATGACTCCCACAGCCAAATCTGGGGGGCTGGGGTTACCCAAACTTTTCTTGGGTACCCAGAAA